TCCCAGCCTCTCCTTTTTGTTATTTATTTTTTATTCTGGGATTTATTTACCTTCTATAATTGAAACTTTGTAGCCTTGAGAGGAGCTCAGAGCCGGCCAGGGCGGGCGAGAGGGAAGCTTGGCTTCCTCCACTGCCAGGGGCAACCCAAGCTTCCTGCTCGCTCCAGCTCCATGGCCATGGCCTGCTGAAAGCAGGTATCGGGTTTATTTAGCTTCTATAATTGAAACTTTGTTGCTTTGAGTGGAGCTTAGAGCCGGGCCGCGGCAAGCGGGAAGCTTGGCTTCCTCCATCATTGGGGCAACCAAGCCTCCTGCTTGCTCCAGCTCCGTGGCTGCCAGCTGCCATCTTGGTTGGGTTAATTTGCATATAGTTGCTCTTATTGGCTGGTTGTCATGGCTTAAGGTGTAGCGAAGGTACGGTCAATTTGCATGTGTCTTTTATTAGTGTAGATAGATGATTAGAAGCTACAAGTCTATGACAGAGTTTTTATAAAATATACAACAGATTTGAGAGATGCGGAGTTAATAAGAAACGCTTTTCATAAATGAAAACTTTATCCTGATTTGCCATGTTAGTTTTTACCTACTCTGTACTGTATCTCTAAGATACAGTAAGTTTTAGGTTGCTTTGCATATAAAATGAAGATTTAATGAATAGATCCAAAGACCTTAGATAAGTGGTCTAACTGCCCTTCCCCACCTCTGATAGAAACAGGTCCGCAAAGAATGTCCTTGCTTAAGGATACAAGGCTGGTTGCCATCTCTAACATTCTGCCTCCAATGGCTATGAGTGAAAATGAGATACTGATTTGTACAATCTATTGTTTATTGATTTTTTTTTCTTAGAGAGAGAAACATCGATTTGTTGTTCCACTTATTTATGCATTCATTGGTTGGTTCTTGTATGTGCCCTGTCCAGGGATAGAAGAGAACCTGCAACCAACCAACTGAGCAATCCAGCCAGGGCTGAACAAACTACTAATGTATTGAAACTTACTTTGGAATTGACAACTGGTACTCTTTTCTCTTTCTCCCAAAACCTCTAAAACCCATCCCAAAATGATTAGGACACAATCATATAAATAAGGTTATGGGTTATGTGAAAATTGGTTTTCCAGGGCAAAGGGAAAGGAAAGAATACTTGGCTAACTCATATTTTACAAATTTTAAATGATTACTAACCACTTGTTATAAAAATCACCTTTGCTTTATTTTTTTATATCAGTTTGATAAGCAAATGTTAAGCCAACCTAATTTTAAAAAATAAAGTTAAAAACTAAAATAAAAAGTGATGCTTTTAAAAAGATAAACAATGGTGTCATTATAAACTGGATTTCTGTGGCTGATATTAGGTACTGCCAAACATTTTGCTATTCAACTTCAAATCCCTCAGTAGCATTACTCTGAAAGGAAATGTTACAGCTTTTATATTATTTGATTTGGTATTTAATAACATTTATAAGTACAATGGCAAACATCAAAAGAGAAACCTTAGTAGAAAAGAAAAAGACAATTTATAATCAGGTTTTGTTAAAGGGTGTTATAAGTGCAACTTTATCTATAAGCATTCCTTTTAAGGCATTTTCATTGTCCAAATATTTCAACATGTACATCAAGTTTGATATTATAAAACGGGCTCCTTTTGTATTATTCATTCAAGACTTAAAAAAAAAATACATCTCAGGACTAAGTATAGCAAAAAAAAAAAAAAAATCACTTTTCTCCTAAGTAACTTAAAATACAAGTCATTTAGCATACATTATTCCGCACTGTAATCCAGATTTGGTATAATTATCTTTTTCACTTACTGACATAAACTGTTAAGACAGTGCAGGCTGTAGTATTTCATTTGTGAGGTGGCTGCAATTCTGTAATATGCACAGTGATTTTTAAGTAGGCTCTTACCATGCCTTGCATGAAAGGTGCTACAACAAACCTGTTTCATGAACTCTTTGGTAACCACCAGTTCAAAAACTTGGACCAAAATTTCCACATGGCCAGATCTGAAGCACTTTATTGGAGTTCTAGGCCGAAACTCTTACCCTGTATATTAAATTCTTCAGTGTTTTTTGGGGGTGGGGTCAGGTGGGGGGGTTAGGTGTAGATTTAGAATAAAACCAGATAATTAAAAGCATGTCAGGCACCAGTAAAAAGGCCCCAGTTAGTTTCTAGTTGGCCATACTATTTTGTTTAAAGAAAAAGAGTGACTTCCTACTAAGTTTGCTTCCAATGATACCTTTTGGAGAAAGTAAAATATTCATGTGGTTATTATCTAGTCCTTTTTTGAATTGTTATGAAAAGGGGATGAATATAATTGAGACTATTCCTACTTTTGCAATCTCAAGTGTTCCCTTGGTTGTTGCTTTAACTGGGCTTTCTCGAGGTCAGCCTACTCAGATTCAGTACTTTATAGGCTGCCCTTAGCATTTTCTACTTGAAGGAATAATGTGCTGCTTAAGTGAGCAGTTCTCTATTTTAGGACATCAGTATCCTGGAGAGGTCAAGCTGTGATATCAT